GTAAATAGTGCTGCTATAAACATTGGTGTGCATTCTCTTATTTTAACTGAGTGGTGACCCCACCCCTCAGCCTCAACTGGTCCCATTCTTCTTCTCTGGCCGTGGTAGCCCTGCTCCCTCAGCTTTGGGCAGTGGCTCCAGCCCTGGGCTCTAGTTTGATCGCCCAGCACTCATGAACAACAGCCCCACACTCCAGAACCATGTTGGTGGAAACCACACTTTGAGATCCCAGAGGTCATGTCTTTGGGACAGAGGCAGCCCTCTTCATCTTCTGCTTCCTGGTTCCTCAGCCTCTCAGTCACTTGTGGCTCAACATCTTCCCTGCTCTGGCTAGTGTTACAAAATGCTTTCTCTCTACCACTAAGTGCTTGGGGCACCCTACTCCACCAAGAACCCTCCTCTCTAAAGGTCCTCAGTCCTCTTGTCCCGTGGGTCAACTCCCATGCTGTCTCATCCAGGACTCCTGATTCTGAAGCTGCTACTTCTTGTTCTCCGCACTGTCTCCAGTGCTTAGCTCTCTTCACTTCCTTCTGAGCCCTCATTAGATTGTCTTTGATGCCTATATTTCCATGAACAGTCTCCTGGGAAAGGTTGTTGTTGTTGTTGTTAAGTGCCATCGAGTCGGTTCCGACCCATAGCGACCCTGTACAGGGTTTCCGAGGGTGTAAATCTTTACGGGAGCAGAAAGCCTCATCTTTCTCCCGCGGAGCGGCAGGTAGTTTCGAACCGCTGTCCTTAGGTAGGCTTTATAATTAGACACCTTAAAACTCTACAACCTCTACTTACTACCTAATCACGAAACCATTTCCTAAATTTTTAGGTATCTGTGGGAGCAGAACTCCACTCCTGGTACCAAATTCTGTCTCTGTTATCTAGGGCTGCTGAAACAGATATAGCACAAGTAGATGACTTTAACAGAAATTTAATTCATGAGGTTAGAAGTTCTAATTTAGAGCACCAGCTTGAGAAGAAGTCTCTGTCAGGTCCAGGGGAAGGTCCTTCCTACAGCTGTGGTCCAGCTGTTCCTTGGAGCTCTCCAAGTGTCTTGAAACCAATCGTCACCTGGGTCTAGGAGGTTCTCAGTGCAGGGACCCTGGGTCCAAAGGATGTGTTCCACTCCTGGCTCTTCTTTCTTGGTGGTAGTTGGTCCGTCCTTTGATTTTTTTTCTCTGTCCTTTACCCCTTGTAAGATAAAGGGGGACCTAAGCCATACCCCAGGGAAATGCCCCTCGGATCAGATCAGGGCTGTTATCTAAGTCAGGGTATTGCACCCTATTTCCTCACAACTGATTGGCTAATCACATCAGATCTCATCACCAGGGACGATTATGTTACACAGCTGACAAATTACATCATTACATTCCTGACAAACCACTAAGACCATTGTCCAGCCAAGTTGACACATATTGTGGGGAATAGAGCTCTGTCGTTGGCAGTTAGGTTATGGGGTTAGGTTAAGTCAACTGATAGATGTTTTACAAGATTTAGGCAAAGTATGTTCCACATCATGGAAATGTGTTCCACATCATGGAAGTGTGTCCCACATCATGGAAGAGTGTCCCACAGCATGACAGTGTGTTCCACATCATGGAAGTGTGTCCCACATCATGAAAACTCTTCTTGTGGAGCCCAGGGGTGGATCCCTGGAGGTGGGGGTCACTGAGGTTCCTCACCACGCCCTCCCTGTGAAGAGGATAGCAATCACTACCCCTGTCACTGAAGGCTGTGCTCCCTTACTGAGAGGAGTCAATTGGGGTCCCCAGAGCCAGCCCATGGGCTGGAGACGACTGAGCAGGGCAGCCTGAGGCTTCTGCAGAAGTGTGGTGTGCGTGGGCAAGGGTCCCAGCTGGTAGCAGACACGGCTAGGCAGGGCTGGCCTCCACTGGGGTCCTCTCTCAGGCCTACACAGCAGAGATTCATTCAGAGCATGCCCAGAGCCCTCAGTAAAGCAACTTGCTAAGCATAGAGGGACAGACTGGCCTCATCCTGTGCCAGGATCTGACATGGTGCCCACAGCCTCACAACTGTCTCTGCTGTCCACAGGGTCCCCACCAGCACAGCCCAAGCCAGAACACCCCAGCAAGGGCTCACATCCCCAGGCCCGGTCCCGCTCACAGGAGTCATATGCTCAAACGGGCCACCACCGCAGGTCCCAGGTGCTGGCCGAGCCTGCGGAGTCGGCGGCACGGGCCCAGGACATCCCACCGCGACTGAAGGTGCCCGAGAAGCAGTTCCTCAAGTCTCCGAAGGGTGCAGGGAAGCCACCTGTGTGGCTGGGGGCTGGCAGGCCTGTGAAAGCCTTGAGCCACCACCTGGCAGCAGCAGCCCAGGGTGCTCAGGACGGGTTCCACCTCCCACCACAACCCCCTCCACCACCGCCACAGCCTTATGGTCACAAGAGGTCTCGGCAGAAGGGCAGGGAGGGCTACTCACCTCTTAAGGCTGCATACACCCCGCCTGCGATGGTGGAGCATGAAGTGGTTCGGGACCTGCCACCCATGCTGGCAGGAGAGGGCTTTGCAGTGCCCATGGTTCAGAGGCACGAACACCACCACCACCACGAGCACCACCATCACCACCACTACCATCACTATCACCCCTCCTGACGTAGCCACCAGCGTCACCACCATGACCACCACCATCACCATCACTACCACCATCCTCATGAGTGGTCACCACCAGTGTCACCACCACGACCACCACCATCATTGTGAGTGGTCACCAGCATCATCACCACCACCACCTCCATGTCTACCACCACCATCACCACTACCATCACTGTCACCCCTCCTGACATAGCCCCACCGTCATCACCATGACAACCACCAACCATCACCATTATCACCATCATCCTCATGAGTGGTCACTACCATCATCATCACCACCACCTCCATCTCTACTACCACCATCACCATTACTACCATCACTGTCATTGTGAGTGTTCACTGCCATTACCACCATCACTGTCATCACCACCATCCTCATGAGTGGTCACCACCATCATCACCACCACCACCTCCATCTCTACTACCAGCATCACCACCACCACCCATCCTGAC